TATTGCCAATATGAAACAAATAAATACACAATAATCAGTCACTTATAAGTTCACATACAACACTAGTGCAAAATAAATAAAGTTAATGTAAACATTAACGTGAGAAACACTTTTGCAGGTAGGCTATCCGAATATAAGCATAAGTAATACTAAGAATTTGCGTGGCTTACCTCCGAATTATACGAGAAATATTTGCTCAGTCAGCAGCAGATTCAGCACAACACAATTCACTTATAGAAAAAATATTCCGAAAAAACTTATTTTATGATATGTAACCACGTTGTACGATTTATATGGAGATCACTTCAAAGCACTTTGACGATTTGCATGAGACACATGATAATTCACAAGCACGTTGTTAAGCAGGCACAACTGTTTTTCACACTATATTGCTGATGACACGAAAATAATGATGGATTACGCTAGTAGTTTGCATGAACAGAAATAATTTTCACTTCATAGCACATTATAATCACAGAACTTGAGGATGCAAGCAGGTTACAGGAGGCACGTGTTCACTAACTTGACGAGTCACCATTTATGGCTGTTGTGATGGATGCCATTTTTGATTGCACGTTGAATGTTAACAAAATCTTACTCGGTAATATTAACATTTATATTTAATTTTAGGATGATATATATTTTAACATATATTCATTTATACACAATCACATTGCATGTAGTTACAAGATGAGCATTTTTACAGTTCGCAAGTCCGCATGAGTAAAAATCAAGAAAGTCCTATTACAGCTACATTAACATCACGGAGGGAAAGTGAGGTGAGTTTCACCGATGGCATCCAGGAACCGAGTAACCAGTTCGAATTTTCCTCCAGAGAGGAAGAGGGAGAAAGCTGGTAGCGCCCCTCTCTCGGGGCAGCGGACAAATAATAATAATAAAGAGTTCTCCACAGTTCCTATGGAAGGAAGGGATACAGGGTAGAGAGATCCATCATCACATGGTTGGCCAAGTTCAGCAGTGGAGTGGAGACTGCAACCAAAGGTGTCAGTGTGGGATGACCAGCAGCCGTGTTGAATTTGATCATGGCGAACAGGTGCATAACTTTTAACAAGATGCAAGAAGAGACAGGGCTTACATGAGGAACATTGCAGGCAATTGTGCTGGGTGATTTGGAAATGACAAATGTGTGTGCAAAGTGGGTGCCTCGTGCACTCACACCATAACAAAAGCGAAGCACGTCGACATCTGCAAAGAACTTCTTGCACTACATGATGCCTATCCGGATGACTTCTTCACCCACCTGGCCACAGGGGACAAGTCTTGGTTTTTGCATGACACTCCCCCAAAAAACACAGCTCCATGTAGTGGAAGCATACATCAAGTCCCAAGAAGCCTAGGCTGGCGTTGAACACATGGAAACAAATGGCAACCATGTTTTGGAATGTCCAGGACATTCTTCTCATAAACTGGCTGGAGCCTGAGTGCACCATCAACAGCGACCGATACTGTGAGAGTTTCCCAGAATGCTGTGACGGTGCATTCAATAGCACCATCTGAGCAAATGGGCATGGCATGTGCTGTTGCAGCACATCCTCACACCAGCTAGAACACCCGCGACACTCACAAGGCATTGGGCTTCACTGTGTTGCCACATCCTCCAACCTGGCCCCCTCGGACTACGCCTTGCTTGAGAAGATGAAGGACCCAGTCATTGGCCAACAAGTTGAATCTTCTGTCAAATTTCATGCAATTGTGCTGCACCAACATCGCCACAGACTAGTTTACCAAAGCCCTTCGGAACCTCCCAGCCAGATGGCAGAAGTGTATTGACTTGGGTTGGGATTATTTCTAACTGATATGCTATCAGTTTCTTATTAATAAATTCTATTCTCCTCTGTGGCAGCATTTATGTCATTCATTTCTCTACGACCTTAATACTTTTATCTGAAAAAAAGTAAGATAATTAAGAGCACAATGTGCTAAACTATTATAAATGACACCCCAGTTTATAGATAATAGAAGTTCAAATCAACACTAGCAAAATATCTAAACAACAATTATTATTGTTCTACCACTTGTACATGGCTATTAGCTTGAAGCATTGATGCAATAAAACATCATATTAATATACTTAATTTTTAATCTTCATTCATTTAAATGGCAAGTTTTTATGCCAAAATATTATATTTTACCTGGTGATTCTTAGTGAAAAGTAGATAATATCTGCCATCTAAATTAAATATACCGTTGTCATAATTAAAATGACTGTACTCAAACCTATAGTGGTTCATGAAAGTTATTGGACACTGAATTTTTCTGTTCTTTAATGAACATAAAACTAAAATAAATTAAAACAAAAAGAAAGACTTTCATTTTGATTCAAAAATCAATACTATCTGTTTAATGAGAAAAAATATTCTCAGAAAAGTAATGACACTTTCGATCCAAAAATGACAAAAACTTACATTCTTTTTGCTTCTTAATATCTTGTGGCATTACCTTTACACTCAATCACTTCATTTAATCTTTTGGGTATTAATTTCACAAGTTTTTTTTTCGGGGGGGGGGGGGTATTTTTGCCATTCCTCTTGAATCATTGCTTTCAGTTGCTGCTGTGAAGATATACTCTGTTTTCAAATTTTTGGTTCTAGTTCCTGCCAAATATGTTCAATAGGATTAAGATCTGGTGACAGGTGTGGTGCCTTAGTTACTTCTGGACACTTATATAACAGTCAGAGTCTAATATTGTATGCAGTATGCTTTAGATCATTGTCCTGGTAGAATTAAAAACTATTTTGTTTTTTGCACTGATGATGCCAAATTTCGCTTCAAAATGTCAAGGTACTTTGCTGATTCATAATACCATCTATAAACTCTATAACCAGCATCGGAATGTGCCATAGATCTCCATACCATAACTCTCCTCTGCCATGTTTAACATTTGGTACTAAATTTTGCTTCTAAAATTCTTCTTTGGATTTTCTTCACACAAGCACTCGTCCATGTGAGCCAAAGCTGTTAAATCTGCTAAGTTCCGCAACAAGTTTAGGAGTACTCGGTCTTGGATTCTCTTTAATATTCCTTAGAATAAAGAGTTTCATTTGATCAGATAACTTAGATGGTCTTCCAGGTCTTTTGTTTTGAATATGATCCTGTTTCTTATGATGCTTAATAATATCAAAAACTGTAAAATTACTTAATTTAAGTAAATAGGTAATTTTTCTAATACATTTCCTTTCTTTTGATGCAAATTAATAAGTAATCTGCGGGTTTCTAAAAATGTTAACTTTCATGATCAAGCCATTGCAAGAAAACATTAAAATAACGAAGATTTTCTAAAATGAAGATTTGAATTATAAAAGCAAACGATTTTTAGATTTTTGCCTAGCTTTTTTATCCAAACTAATTTCATAAAATTTCACTTTTTATTTATTGCAAACGATTTTAACTAGAAATTATGAAAATGCTCAATTAATTTTGTTGTATCTTCCCCCCCCCCCATTTCAGCCTAAAACAAATTTTTTTAAATTTACTATTTCATTTTTTCAAATTTATTTAATACAAAGAGAGAGCTAAGAAAATACGTATTCAAAGGGAAAATATTCTTTATTATTTTATTTCAAGGCTTTTTTTTCCTGTTCTAAAATTATAGTAGCTGATCACTTTTGTGAGACATTGTATGTACAACCTGTTCTAGCTGATGTATGGTCAGACAAAGTGCATTTTCTCTATGTAGCTGTGAATACTCTGAATTGTATGGTGTGGTTTTAATGCTGATTCATTCTTGTCCCCTTTATCTTTGAGAAAGATATTCCTCAAGACAGCAAAAAGGTGTACTATTATGAGGACTTATTACTGTGAACTTTTGTAGCAGCAAGTCATTCCTACCTTAACAGTTTAAGAATGTGCAGATACTACTGTGTTCTTTAGAGAAATTTTCCAAATGTCTGGCCTCCTCAGCTCCACGCTTGAATCCCCAAGACTTCTGGTCATCGGAATTCCTGAAATAGCATATCTATGAGGAAGTATATAGGTGCCTATCTGAATTGAAAACAAGCATAACATGCCAAGTTGTTGAATTTCCTTAAGGAACATTTCACTCTACTACTGAGTGTACTATAATGTACTTTAGACATGTGATTGATGCAAATGGAATTAAATAAAGTTTCATATTTTCTGTTCTTTATAAGTCACCTTTTCACCTGGTGGTCAAAATTTGAACTATTAATATTTATTTCAGTTTTCTTTTACCCATGGTCCATATAACATATATACCAAGTTTAACAAAATATGCCAGCCAAAGTGAGTTATACATAGGTTTGAGTAGGATCTCTTTAATTGAAACTACCCTGTATATGTCACATTGGGGGAAAATGGCAAAGAATGACCCATCTAGTAAAACTGTATGTAGATGAACAATAATATTTGGCATTCAGTTTTAGTTTAGTAGAATGGGTTTCAGTGGATCTACACTATCTTCTCTATCTATGACAAGCACTAGTGTGTTTTATCATAATTGATTAAACAAACAAATATATAAAACCTATTCTTTCTCAACTGTCACAAGTAACACTTTCATTAAAGTTATAACAATAACTATAATGGAAAGGACTTTGATAATGTATGGAATTTCATTCTCAACAGATTCAATTTTCATTTGAGCCATACAGTTTAAACCTTTCATTCACAATATAAAATAAAGATAAATTTTGTATATAAAGTATGTCATCACAAACATGTCACATTGAATACATGTCAGGGTCAGTCATCAAGATTTATGCCTATATATTTTTACATACATACAACTAAGTTCCACTGATTTAAGTAAGGAAAATCAGAATTTAATTATCAGCTATTAACTGTATAATTAAATTTCCCCGGCTTAAAATATCTGCATTAAAGAAAGAGAAATCAAGCTTTATTATGCAAATGGAAACAATTTCAAATAGAAAAAATTAGAAAAATCATATAGAAATTCTATTTATAAATTAACTTATTTATAATTACAAATGTAGCTTTAAAATGCTACTATATCTTACCAAACTCACAGTTAATAAAGAATGAAACACACTGAAGCTGTGGCTAAATAAAAGGAAGAACAATATCAGATAAGTGAAACTTATACGTCACATTTTTATAAAAAAAAATTTTACTGTACAAATAATTAGCATATGCTAGGATATTTTACCTGTGAAAACTCAGTGCCTACAGAATTTTCAATGTTTTTTCTTTTGTGCAGTTCAATCTAAACAATATAAATTCCATTACATAATCAATAATTCAGATAATATGCTTTCTTTATAAATAAACAAACTAATAACATGTTTACAATTACCTTTCTCATAAAATTTCTTTCATGTAAAACATCTGCACTAGATGGGGAGAGATTAAAATTTATTAAGCAACTGCAAAGAATTTCACACAGAAATATGTTTATTTTTATTTTAAAATTAATTTAAAATTTTGCTATTTGTATAAATATATGAAATTTTTAATTTCTTGTAGAATGTTTTATTGTTTTACTTTTTACTCTAAAATGCAAATTAAAGTTAGGACATTTTCGTCATTACAAGGGAGCTTCAGAATACAGAAATTACAGCAATTGAAAATGATAGTTCACAATAAAAGAAAGTGTTTTTCATTTAATAAGAACAAAAAAAAAAAAAAAAACTTTCATCTACACTTTCTTTACCTTCAACATGTTATATACATATTAAAATACTCAGCATATTCCAACCTTTATCTGATAATATGCTTATAATATAACATGCTATATTTGAAAGAAAAAGTTCAATGTGTTTTGAGAAGTAAGAAAATGAATTGTAATATTTTTAAGATTATAAAGGATTTAAAAAATTTAAACAAGATTTTGAATAAAAAGTAATTAAAAGAAAAAGTATATATTTGTCTAAATTTTATCATACAAATACAAATAATTTATATAAAAATCTATATTTAAATGGCTAACTTACCCTGAGAGACAATTTGAGATATTCTCTATTTCATACTCAAATGTTTCTGGGAAGAAAAGAAAATACTATTAATAAAATAATATCCTACATACATACACATAGTGTTCTAAAATGCAGATGCCCTATTTTTTACTCACACAGTTGATAATAAAATAATATTTTACATATATATACATGGTATTCCAAAATGCAGTTGTGCATCTAGTTTAGCAGTATGTAATTGCACTAAAATTTCTTTGTAATATTCTTTTATGTATTTAATTATGCTTGAATATAATAGCTTAAATTACTAGTACAATTATAAGGGAGCATTTTTTGAATTAATGATGCTAGATATACATGTCCAGTTGTGAAATTCATTAAACATTACAGTTGGCAATGCAATAAAGTGCATGGAACTTTATCCAGTTGTGATAATTCAACAACTTTATTAAGCTTTACACAGTCCTGCAAAAATAAGAACAAAATTTTTCCCGATCTATATCTACATTATAAATAGTTTTTTTTTTTTTATTACTATTTATTTTATTTTTATTCTCACATGATCCTTGTAAAGTAAAATCTAAAATTACATGTAGAATTCCTAGAGATAGTGACTCAAATCAATAATTAAATAAGAAAAGATTAGTCAAAAAATGAAGCATACTGCTTTCCAAGTGTTTTGTTTAATGTTCTGGCACTCAATTTCTCTTTATTGTAAATTTCTTTCTCCCTTATAATTGAACTAGTAATTTAAGCTATTATATTTAAGCATAATTGAATACATAAAGGAATATTACAGAGAATTTTTAGTGCAATCTTGTAGTTCAAGATTGAAAGAGAGAAAGGTGTTGATTGAGGCGAATTCCGGAACGCATTGCGTTAATGGAATCGGAAAGGTTGGAAGAAAACAGCCGGGAAACATGTTGTTCCAGGGCTTGGGAAAGGTAATATTAGGTAATACGGACAGCCGCAGTGATAGCTAATGCCTTGGGGATGAGCGGGGGGGGGGGAAAGAGTCTTGCGACTAAAACTGGAATCCAGGGAAGAAGGAGCGAAGAGGAGGGGGGGAAGAGTCAATACAGGAAGGCGAAAAGTTCTCCGACCGCCCGTGGCGAGAGGAGAATAGGAGCAACTTTTGGAGCGGAAAAGAACCGTGAGGAAAGTTAACTGTGAAAAAGATGGAGAAATTATTAGATGAGGATTTAAAGGGACAGAAATAGAGCAAAGGAAGGAAGTAAAAGGAATTAGAGGAAGTGAGAAGAGTTAAGGGGGACCTATTCGGTGACCCGAAAATTTCTGTGGTTATTGAAAATGAAGCAGATTTTCTTCTAATTATTTTACTACTTTTGAAGTGGATGTTTAAATACGTTTTTTTCTGATCAGCATAATTCTAACACATGTCGTGAAATAAATTTTGTTTGGAAGAACACAAAAGTTTTTTTTTTTTTTTTTTTTTGTTGTTGTTGTTTCTTTATTATGGTCTTTTATTTAAAAAAGAAAAAAAAAAGTCAGACTGCTCCTAAAATTTGTGCTATGTATGGAAAAAGTGCGCTTCCTGATGACAAACTTTGAAGGTGATTTGAGAAATTAAAGCCTAGAAATTTCAACCTTAAAAATAATGTTCACTCTGGATGACCATCCTTTGTAAACAAGGACCTATTAAAAGAAATTATCACTGAAAATTCAAGTTATACAATTCAGAAAGTATCCAATAAACTAAATAATATTCCAAAAAGTGCAGTATATGATCATTTGAAGAAAACTAGATACAAGCTGCTACAATGTATAGGTATCCCATACTTTAACAGAACATAATATGCTCACTCAAGTTTTAGCATGCGATTCTTTAATTTTAAAAAAAAATTCCTTTTCTTCAAACAGCTCATTACAGAATATGAGAGAAGGATACTATACAATAATGTTACAGGAAAAAGATCATGAGATAAGCCAAAAGAACCTCCTTTAATAACACTAGAGGAGCCCTCATCCCAGGAAAATAATGCTTTGTATACGGTGGGATTACAAAAGAATTGACTATGAATTGTTGCCATCAAATCAAACAATAAATTCAAAAAAAAAAAAAAAAAAAAAACACTGCTACCAAATAGTAATTTTTAAAAATAGAAATCGAAACAAAGATCCCAGAATTGACCAATCTTCAAGATATTGTCTTCATTATGACAACGTTCGGCTTAGATTTTTGCCTCTCTGATTTTCATCTCTTCAGGTCACTTCAGTATTCTCTGAATGCCCTGAATTTTGTTTCTTTAGAGACTCTCAAACATCACCTCTGTAATTTCTTTATGAATAAACTTAATGACTTTTTTTAAAAAAGAAATTTTTCAGCTGCCTAAGAGATTGCTAAACAGCATAGAATGAAATGGCGCTTATATGATTCAATGAAGGTTTCTTATGTTTCTGTACAGCTTCATTTGTATTTATCATAAAAAAGTTGCAGAACATTCTGGATAACCAAATACTATTTATGCTTAGAAAATGTATAAATATGAAATATATGTTAATAAAATTGAAATATACTTATTGAAATATATGCTAATAAAATTGAAAATATACCATCAGCAAAAGGTAGTTTTTTTTTTTTTTTTTTTTTTTTTTTTTGTATATTTCTTTATGTTTTATGCAGAAAAAGATTGACATGATTTTTCATTTCAAAATATTCAAATATAAATAAATGATAGATGAAATATAAAAATTTCATCTATTATTTTTAACCCAGTAACAAACTTATTACTACATTTAAAATTTAAGATATATGCTTATAAAGTCCTTTCTTATGTATATTATCACCTAAAATCTTTCATCTAAAGATAACATGCTTATTTATTTTATGATTAAATACAATATTATGATTAATTCATTATTATCATATGATATTATGATCATCATAATATTATAATCACTAAGATTTTAGAAGTATCTAAAAATTTATTGTTCCCAGTTAATCAACAATATAAAAGCAAAATTCATTTTAAGTGAAATTTAACCCATGATGGATTTAGAAAGATGTATAGTACAAAGTCCAACATCAAGCAATTCAGGTTTGGGAATTTTCTGAATTTTATATCAGCAGTTTAAAACTAGTAAAATGACATGTATAAATTATAAAATAAAAAATATGAAATAGTTCTTTATGAAATAACGAAAAATTTATGACATTAAAAGAATCAAAATTAAAAAAAGGCTCAGCATTTATTTGTTTGCTTTATTAAAAATTTTAATGATGTATAATTTATTAAAATTTTAATGATGTAATTGTATTTGGTTCATGGCAAGTGGAATTTTATCATCAATTTTTAACCTACTTCCTGATAAGTTCTCGAGTTCAAATTTACTACACACCATGTTTGTTGATAATGATGCAATGTGGTGAAGTGATTTTTTTCAAAATGCAATTTAGATTTTCTATTTTTTTAACTTACATTGTAAGTTGCTGCTTTACTAATACTTTCTCTTTAATTTTACAGAGACATAATTTCTTGTTCAGTTACAAAGTTATGTAATTATTGTGCCAAGAATTCCCTTTAAATTGTCAATAAAAATTTTTCTATTCTCAAGAAATCACTAGCTTTCCTCACTAATGGTAGCAATATTTTCTGGATATGGAACCATACTACAGATTTCATCTGTTAATTGACTGTCATCACAATGGAACACTTCTGTTATATCATCTTCATTTATTACATCTCCACATTTCTTCACAAATTCCATCAATTAGAAAATTTCTTTTTTTTTTTAATATTTGAAACACCTTCAAATTTGTAGCTATCATCATACAGCTTAGCAAGCATCTGCTAAATACTATTGGCAATGAATCATGAGATTGGCAACTAAAGATATGTTGTCCTATTAAAATTTGTCTTGTTCCTATTGCATGCTAAGGAAGTTAAGCCTGAGTTATATTAGTTTTGTTATTTATTATACTTACATCTATTTCCCACATACGAATCTCAATAAACTGCTTATCTGAAACCTAATCAAATAACTTCCCACATATACTTGTAGTGTTGCCATGGAAACACCGTACGAAGTTTTGTGAGTTCTGCGCATGCCCGCCTCGGATGAGCGGCAGATGGTAAGGAGAGAGCGGTGTGTATGGAGCGGGGAATTTCCCTTCTCATCGAAATGTTATTATTGGATGTGTAAAATAAAGATTATATATTTTATACTTGTATCTTGCCTCACCATGGAACTCCTACATTGGTGAACTCCTACATACTTAAGGTGGTACTTCTCAATGATGCACCAGCCAAGCATTTTGCCAGCTTAATTCGTAAACAATATCTAGTTATAAGAATAGTTTACAGATGGCAAACTCACACATTGCATGGCAGGTTATAGCTAATTTATGATCACCTGCAGTGCACCAAAAAGTGTACTAAGTGCATAACATTAATGATTTATTGTTCTGATAAGCCTTAAGAACTCTTAAGGCTTATCAGAACAACAAATCAGTTATTCTTAATTCAAACAGACAACTAAATGGCCTATGAGTACCATTTACAAAATCTATTTTTAGAAATTTTTCGGTACTTTTCCGTTTTGCCTGCGCAAATCTCGCCAAGCAGAATTTATTGGCGACAACGTACAGTATACACATAAAAAATTTTAACAAATGTTAGTTCTAAGAATTTTTATTTTGAAGGCATAAACATTTTAATAGCGTTTAAAATTTTGTAAAAAGCCAATAAATAAAGACAATAAATTTGTAAAAAGACATTAATTTAAGAATTTACTATATACTTTCATGGTTTAACATCCTGATTCGCCGTATCACATGACCCCAAGAGATCTCATCCTACGTAAACTACGCTACAAAAATCTAATTCTCTCAGTAATTATCTACATTAATTTAAATCTTTGTTTGGAATACAAGTTTAAATGCAAGAATTGTTTCAATTCGTACGAATAGCTTACTCAGAAATTATGTAAAACCGCAGTGTTTTACTTCGCTGGTGCATTCCATTAGAATGGATGAATTTAACCTTTGACTTTGCCTTTACTATATTTTCGTTTTCAGGTGAGCAGTGTGATTGCTTCATAATTGACTTAATTGCTACAAATGGTCTTAGGGCATAAAATTGAACAATCTGATAAAAATTCTATGTAATTATATGTCAGTATTGAAAAAAACAATCAATCTGATAAGAAATGGCTGCGACATTTTTTTAAAATGAGGCGTAAAAGGTTACCAGCGAGGATATTCCGTTTGGCATCAGTTGTACCATTATTGGCGACTTTATCGCCTGCGTCAGCAAATTGGAAAAGTACCCATTTTTCTTTTGTCTGACTTATTATTGAGAATGTTATAAACAGTTGTGAAGTGTTAAGTGTTTGTTATCATCACCAACCATAATGTCAGCATAAAAGGTTATTATGCTGTTATTATTCAGTTATTGATATTTAAAACAATAGTTAATTTACACATCATTGCATAAATTATTTCTCCAGGTGCCAAGAGTTGATAGTCATATAGTTATAAAGGCAATAAATAATAAATGCTTATTTGTCAAGTTGGCATAAGAATGTGGCAGTTAACCATAACTGGCCTCTCAGAAATCGAAAATTCATTGACACTCTCATAACCCTCCGTACATCACAAGAATTCCATGATATCCAGTTATAAATTTGCAATGATAGAAGATTTCAGTTTGAAATGTATATCAAGCAATAAAGAACCTAAAGAGCCAATTTTTTTTCATACGAATTAACACTAATAAATGACTGTGTTTCTTCAACATGGAAGCGTTTTATTTAGTGCCAAAGTAAAATTAAGAATCAGAACCCTTCACATGTTTTATTACAAAAAAGTTTACAGTGCATGCATGAAATGTTAAATATATGCTAATCTTAGAATCCAATTCTTTCTCCCTTTTCAAAGAAAAATCTTTAGATCATTCTGGATATAAGATATCCACATTTTGGACTTTGTACTGTATTTTCTTTGTGAAAAAGTAATCAAGAGAAAATAAGCATCTACATGTGCATAAATTGAACAATGTGAAAAACTTAAAAGGTCATTACCTGATCTACTGTTAATGAAAGTGAAAGGTTTACTTTTGTTAAAATCAGGAATCACTGTTAACATTCCATGATCATCAACTTGGAGAAAACATAGTTCTATTTCTTCACTCAACAAACTATGAAAAATAAATATTCATACAAGAAAAATAATAAAATATGCATTATATTATTTAAGCAGATAATGTATTACTTTTTTAAGATGGTTTTCTTGACAGTTAAATATTAAATATAATGAGTATGCATATATAAAATTTTTATGGTGCATTATAAAAAACAGAAGTTAGTATTTTACTTTAAATTACTTACTTATCCTCAAAAAATAAAGCTGCCATGATAACCATAGACTGGCCAATGGGAAGTGCTACATTTTGTGAACTACTTTTGTTTCTCACTATTTCTCTAACATGTGAAAATATTGGTTTCTGCCTAAAATGCAAAACAAGACAGCTGTATATAAAATATCCCATTTATTTACTATATTATAAAGTAATAATTGATTATTGACTCACCAAGTTATGTTACTAAAACCTAACCTAGTTTTTGGCCTTAATGTAATTATCTTTTTTTCAAGTGGACTCAGCTGTGAAGTTGGATATGTTTTACATCTTTCACTCTGTTAAAAAATTTAGAATAACTTAATTAGCATCTGCAGTGTGTCCATATCTAATTAAGAAATATATATATATACATCATGGTGTTAAGTGAATTTCTGTTTCTTGGAGATAATATACGAAAAACCTTCTCTAATAATAAATTATTGGTTTAGCACAAGTTTTAGGCTTATTAATTTACTCATACATATATACATAATTAAGAAATATACATATGTTTAAAAACATCAGGAAGTTAAAAAACATACACAGCTACTTAGAAATATTAAATAGCTGGACAACGAGATATTGGTTAGTGACTCTAACTACTGTACCCAGGGGCCTGGGTTCAAATCCCAGAGAAGGCATGGATATTGTAAATGTATAGTATCCATGCTGCATGGGGCACTCTAAATATATGGCAAGCTGAATCTTTTGAGAAGCTGGTGGGAGGAAAAGAGAGAGGGAGAGCCTTTAATCACACCTCAGAGTGCTTTTCTTTAAAATTAGGGGGGGATGGGCAAAATCGTACTGGCACCTATGTGGTGCACAAGGCTCTTGCCAATGATGAAGACAATCTTGTACTCCTTGCCATGATAAAATTTATGGGTTTGTTTTTATTAGATCAGACAAGTAAGACTGGTCACAGAAATATTAAATATAAATTAAGAAGCCTAACATACAAAAGTATTTACAAAAGTAAATTTCATTTCGGTACTTTTCCGTTTTGCCGGCGCAAACCATAAAGTCGCCAATAATGGTACAACTGATGCCAAACGAATATCTTCGCTGGTTTAAGCCAGCCTTTTACGCTTCATTTTCAAAACAAGTCGCAGCCATTTCTTATCAGATTGATTTTTTCTTTTAATACTGGCATACAATTACATAGAATGTTTACCTAGATAGTTAAATTTTATGCCCTAAGACCATTCGCGGTAATTAAGTCATTTAGGATGCAATCACACCGCTCACCCGAAGGCAAAAATTAGAAAATGCAAAATCAAGTGTTAAATTCATCAATTCTAATGAGAATGCACTAGCGAAGTAAAGCAATGCGGTTTTACATAATTTCTGAGTAAACTATTCGTATGAACTGAAATAATTTGTGCATTTATACTTGCATTCCAAATTAAGATTTAACTTAAAATTAACGTAGATAATTGCTGAGAGAATTAGTTTTTTGTAGCGTAGTTTACGTGAGATGAGATCACTTGGGGTCACGTGATACGAACCGGCGAATCAGGATGTTGAACCATAAAAGCATAGTAAATTTTAAATGAATGCCTTTTTACCAATTTATTGTCTTTATTTACTGGCTTTTTACAAAAATTTTAAACCATATTAAAATATTTATGCCTTCAAAATAAAAGATTCTTAGAACAAAACATTTGTTAACATTTTTATATGTTACAGTCAAAAGTCGTTAATTCGAACACCCATAATCCGGAATGATCTATAATCCGGACCTCAAAGCTAAAAACTTTGCGCATGCGCCGCATTGGCACATGCGCACACAGGCGTTTTACGCATGCGCGTAACCTTGACTAATGACGCATATGCGTGTGCGCAAGTGCAGAATACGTTTTCGCCTGTGCGTTTAATGTATAACGAACGGTGTTTGTATGTAAGCTAAAATTATCTAATTATCTCTTTCAGTTATGTTAATGATTGCGTTGTTCCTTAATCTTCGAATTGGATCGTGCTTATTATTTTTTGCAGACTGTAAGAGGCAATTTTATAAAAGTAAACTTGAACTTTCGATTATGTCAAATAGAATTTCCGATGCTGGAACTTCCAAAGGATCTACAAAACGAAAGTATGTTTCGATGTCCAACAACACAAAAAGTGGGAATTGCTGCAAAAAAAGGATAAAGACATGAAGAAGTGACAGAGAGGTTAGTGAAAACGAAAAAATTTCGATTGGCAAGTTAGTCGGTATTCTCGGAACAGCAATTAACGGGACTTGAACAGCGGAACTTTGTAACTGAACAAGAAATTATGTCTGTTTATAGAATTATTAAAGAGAAAGTATTATCACATTAAACGAAGCAACTTAAAAACTTACATTGAAAGAAATGTTAATAAAGTAAATAAATATTAAGCTTTTTTTTTTTTTTTTTTTTGTAAATTTTGATACCCTTTAGATCATAATTGTTCTTATTTTCGTAAATTACGGGTTCATATTTTTAATTTTAGAATTTCTGCATGCCACTTACGAATTTAACTGATGGATCCCCCCCCCCCCCCCCCCCCCCCCCCCCCCCCCCCCCCCCCCCCCCCCCCTCCCCCCCCCCCCCCCCCCCCATAATCTGGAAAAATCGATAATCCGGAATCGCCGACCCCGTCCGACGAGTCCGGATTAACGACTTTTGACTGTATACTGTATGCTGTCGCCAACAAAGTCTGCTTGGCGAAATTTGCGCCGACGAAACGGAAAAGTACCTTCATTTCTACTGTTATTAAAACACCACTTTCGGATTAATGAAAAAAATGCTAATTTTATCACTATTAAAATAGTTAGGCATTTTTTAATAGAAATTTTTAGTAAAATAAACTTAAGACAGCAGGAATTTAAGGAGGCTTCTAAGATTTTGTAGATATCAGATTCGTGTCCAGATGTTGAATAAATTTGTAAATTTTCTATTGTTTTCCAATAAAATGTCCACAAAAATGCAATCCTCTTCTATAATTTAAGTTAGAAGTTTGAATTACCCTAAGTTTTGCTGGACTTCTGGAATATGAGAGACATCATTTCCCGAAATTACATAAACTCATTCTTCACTGCCAAAAGTCAAAATGCTAGTAAACAATTTTGACTCCAGACAACTCTTTTTTAAAAACATTTTACTTAGTGAAAGACATTTGTGTATGAAAATATAATGAACAGGGAAAAAATCCAATTAAATGATAATCTTCAACTAAAATAGCAGTAAATAAATTTCCAATAGTTGATTGGTTTATGAATGTAAATTTCAATTTTAAAATGTATAACATGATTTTTAATAATGTATACACACTTAAGTTAGTTAACATAATTTTTACACAATTAAATACTACTTATTTGCATTATTGCTTCATTTCTGATTGACATTCCCCACTACTTCACCTGAAAATGTTAATACAAATCTTTGACTGTAAAGTTTCTCATGCAATTTCAGGATAAAAAGTTTTGCAAATTTTCATTCTTACTCTGCAATGCAACATAAATTTTTCCCTTCCTTCCCTTCAAGATAAAATTACAGCCTCAGATATTATTACTGTTTTGTAACAAAATTTATCAGCTGCAGTTTGTATAACCTCAAGTTAAAATATGCCAGAAGAAATTATTAATTATATTTTTTACAAGAAGATCCTGTGCCAGTTTGCCTCAAAATGCAAATTTTTCTGAACAAATTCAGCTACCTTTGATTTTTGAAACTTAATTCGTGTCTTCCATTTCCATGTTATAGTTTTCTCTTTATAAATCTATGGTTAAATCAGGCAAATAATTGGAGTTTTAATACAGGTCATAAGTCTTTAATCCGACCATATCCGAATCTATAATCCGGACCTCAATCTAACACTGTTCTGTGCATGCGTATGCGGCATATACTTTACGCATGCTGTTTACTATAATGGTAAATAAGCTAAGCTAAAAATTATCTAAATTAATTTCAGTAATTGTTGGCGATTGGGTTGTTCCCTTAATCTTCGAATGGATGGCTTATTATTTTTTTGCAGACTGTTAGAGCAATTTTATAAAAGTAAGCTTGAACTTTCAATATGTCAAAAGAATTTCCAATTCTGGAGCTGCCAAAGGATCTACCAAAGCGAAAGCATGTTTTATAGTCCATTAAAAAAAGTGGAATTGCTGCAAAAAATGGACAAAGGCATGAAGAAAGTGACGGAGAGGTGATTTGTTTCTCTAACCTTTCCGAAATCTGTTTATCAATTTCACCCTGCTCTGGGGGGGGGATGAACTGGAAGTTGACCTGTCAGCACCATCCTCATCTTCAGGGCAGATGTTTTTATTTTATTCGACTTAAAATTCCTCACTAAATGTAGTGTTTCATCTCGATGTCCTCCGATATAATTTAAATCAATTTCCTCATCATTAAAATATAACGAAACACATCAAATAGTTTTCTGGTTGCAATTTTCTAATTTCAACTATGCGTAATGTATGCTTTATGATGCGCTCGCGCGTTGAAAGAATGTTTAATAAGTAAACAAATAAATATTAAGCTTTTTTTATGTAAATTTTGATACCCATTAGATCATAATCGCTCTTTATTTCATAAATTACGGTTTCATATTTTTAATTTTACAATTTCTGCATGCCATTTTACCAGATTTAAACGGATGATCTATAATCCGGAAAACCGGTAATCCGGAATCGCCGAAGTCCCGACGAGTGCAGATTAAACACTTTTGACTGTATTTGAATTTCAGTTAGGGTTGCAATATGGTTATCATTAAAGTGTATAAGCTGGATATATAATTCAATAGAATATTTTAAAATATTTGGTACATATTTTGGGAAGCATGTCTAAAATATAACAGGAGGAAAAACGCAAAGAAATTTCAAATATATATTATTGTTGATAAATGTTCTGAGGTGATAAAAGCAAGAGGGGTAGAGTAGACTTTAAGGTAGCCCTTGTATTATGGTGAAGTTGTTGTTTCGTTTCATTTATGGTAGCCTGAGTAGTTGAATGCTAGGGAAACCCTATTTTATGCATAATTGGGTGAAATTCTGGAAATTTTGAATCTGTATTTTGTAAGCGTTTTTTGGTGTGGTTGGTTTGATTCTTTAGACGGTAGAATGGCAGTGTGTAGTAAGATTAATTTGAGTTTCTGTACAATTTGGAGTGAAAGGCAAAAAGAGCTTTAATATGGAATTTGTGTAAATGAAGGTTCACTTAGTAGCCATTTAAGTGTCCTGTATGTAGGAAGGATATGCGTGTAGTCAAAGTAAAAAAAATTTAGATGGATTGAATGGGTTTGTAGAAGATAGGTTCAGATGGTTACTATGTTAAGCTTCGTCAAAAGAGTACCTGGTTTGAAAAAAAGTCATTTGAGATATTGATATTTTGATTTTTACGTGGCTCTGGGTGAACGAAGCGAACTCGAAAATCATGGTAAGTGAATATTTGCTTTTGATAGTGCTAAATGTACAACAATGTTTTCCTTTTTTATGTTCTTTATTTTTTGGTTTTAATGTATTTTATTGAGGTATGGTTCCCCCCCCATATATTTAGAATTTGGTGCTCCTTTGACTTTTAAGTGAAAATATATCAATGTGTACATGGGCAAAGGTAAAGGGAGTGCACAATGCAAGTTTTTGCAATTCTGAGATTTTTTTTAAGTGAAAATAGGTCGATGTGCATGGATAAAGTTAAAAAGAGTGCGCAATGCCATTTTTGTCAATTCAGGGATTTTTTAAATGAAAATAGGTCGACGTGTACATGGATAAATCAAAGGAGTGCGCAATATTTTGTGCAATTTGGGGATTTTTTTAAGTGAAAATAAGGCGATGTGTACATGGATACCGAGTTTGTGCAATTGTTTGTTGTTACTTTGGCTTTGTATAGCGGCAATTTTTGGCGCAAAAATCACTGCTTCTCAAGCAAAAAAAAAAAAAAAAAAAATAACGGGTCAAAGAATTGACAAAATCGTATCCAGTACGCCCAAAATCGCCAAGGGCTACCCTAAACTATACTTTTACTAAGCAAGAGATATTAACAACAAAAAATTTTATGATAAATAAATGTCCCTTCCGGTCTAAATAGAAATAAAGATAAAATAAGGCAGTTATAGTACCAATGTATGACTTTGAAGATAATAATATGTTCAGTGTTAGCTTAAAATAAAAGGAAAAGGTAAACACTGCATTAAATACTACATACTGGAAAATCTGGTCTACTATCACAACACCGAAAAAATAATTTCACTATACAGAAGAAAAAATATACATAAAGGAACAGGGAAATGAGTCATGAGAAGAGAGACAAGAATATTGATAGAATAAAATTTTAGGGAATGATCTCAAAATTCAGAAATTGTCCAATAGAAAGAAAAGAAATATATTATCATGGAAATATTCATGAAAAAAAGCTCATCAAACATAACAGTAATATTTTTTTAAATAAATTGTGATAACCTGGTTACAATAAAACTTATAATGACAATAAAATGTGCCTGATGTTACAACACTAGTTTTTATTACATTCTAAGTTTATGGCTGAAAAATATCATACATAAAATACATTTCAAACATATTCTATTATCATGGCATGCACAGATACAAGAAATATAATTGAGTGGGGGAAAAAAAAAAAGAAAAACTAGTCAGGAACAGAAATATATTTTTCTTTAATTTTAAATAAAATACAGTTTTTTAACAAAAGAAAAAAGAATACAATACAAAACCTTAAATTTACATGAAAGAATATCTGCATCAGTATATGAGAAAAGGCAAACATTCACTGCATCTTTCTGTGATTTATTGCCTTCATCTAGATTCTGACTGTTTTCTCCATTCTGTATATGAATAAGTTTTTAATAACATATTATTTATATTGAAAATAATAAATGTTCTAAATTTAGCATAACACAAAATTTATATAAACGAATTCATATATGCAAATTATTTGTCTATATTCAAGAAAATAACCTAAAAAATTTTTCAGAAATTAATTACATTCATCACATAATTTTAAATATATGCACATATTTGTAACATATTAATAACAGTAAAAATAAATTTGAGCCATATAAATGATAACAAAAAGAAGATCAAAACAGGACAGGTTTCTTTTGCATTCATGCCAAATGTGGCAATCTACAGCCATCTGAATAGTTTTAAATTTTACAAAACAAGGTTTTTATGTATATCAATGGAAGACTCACAGTTACAAAACAGATCTATAATGATTGACTCATAATTATAATTTGAACACTTTTTATTAACTGTAATAAAATAAAACAACAATATCCAATTAAAAATTTGATGTACTGGCATATATTGAGTGATATTTAAAAGACATTTTAATCAAAAAGATTTAAGCAAAAATATGTAAAATTTCATTTTATAAAAGAAAATCAGCAGTTATCTCAAAAATTAATAATTAACTAAAAACAGTCTACTCATATATAGGTTTAAACAATAATAAAAAGAAGCATAATCTATTAATTTATTTTTTTAGTTGTAAGAAAAAGTCTGTATGATCTTTTTTTTTTTTTTTTTAGTCCGAAAAAGTCTACATTTTAATAGCCAATGGATACCATTTAACAAAAATTCATCTATAATTAAACATAAACCTGTTTCAAATACGTTATAACATATTTTTGATTAAAGCTATCGACAGTCTTGTGTATTGTCCTGATCCTAAAAATGTTTCAGCTGTTCAGTGATAATTTTATACTAGTGTTTGAGTAAAGCAAATGATCTCCAACAAACCTTTATTAGTAATTTCTCTCATGAAAATTACTAAACTAGAATTTAAAGTCACTTTGAAAGAATTCAGAATTGCTGTGGGATACAGATGAATCAGATCAACATGAAGAACTCATATCTTGTGGATACTACAATGACAGATCCATTACAATTAATGAAATATAATTATTTAATTTTCTGTTAAATATATTGAATTTTCTGTTAGGACTGTATGGTTGTTGGCATTTGACAATTATGTATTATCCTGTCAACCATGAAATAGTTGCCAAGCAGTGTGATTTAGTACCAATTATGGATAAGCAAGACAATGCTCTCATAATATTTGCAATTTTGTTTGACATAACTCTGATTAAGCCATGTTTTGCTTTTAAGAACAAAGGTATAAATTAATTGTTATTGTTGAATGTTCCTTGCACTTTGAAAAAAAATATTTCAAATTTGGGATCTGCTTTCTACAGAATAACAAACAGTAGATCAAAGTTATGGGATCTTATCATCAAAAACAAAGGGGACACAATATGGGCAGCTGAACACAGCCAACAAAACAGTAACAGATTGGAACAATTACCCATGGGAAGTCTGTAATCATATGTTCTAATCAGAGCTTCCGGGAAAGTCAAAGGGCCTGACAAAATAGTAGAAGTCAGTAAATGTTTTACAAAAAACAGAAATGAAGCAAAAGGGGCAAGAGTTCCTTCAGAACTCCGCAAAAAGATTTTCAGAACTTTGGCAGTATTTCAGGAAACTTTTATGGTTTGAGGATAATCGACGGCCAATCTTTGGAATATGGTAACAGGTAGTTTGGCGACATTTTTGGTAAGGCGATAAAGGTTACTAGCTAGGACTTTAGAAGTGTACATGGATAAAGTCAAGAGTGTGCACAATGCCATTTTTGTGCAATTCCTGGATGTTTTTTTAAGTGAAAATAGGTCGACATGTACATGGATGATACCGTGTATATGCAATTCTTAAAAACGCGGCAAGCAGTGGGTGATTCTGCACTTTCTCCCAATTTCGCACCTAATCTTCGTCATGATTAAGCACTTTTGTTCCATAAAGGTTCAAGCATAAGCATAGTTCAGCTAGCAGATTGTTGGAAAAAAATGTTGAGTAAAAAAAAAACATGCCTTTACTTCGTGAAAACAAAATGGCGTCCAAAAAAAACTAGCTAGTTGCTGTAGCAGGGTTGGTCGCCAAATTTTCGCCAAGAAATCGCCAAGCTACCATAATCCAAAGATTAACCTAACCAACTTTTAAGAGTGGCAGGATAATACATAAGTACCATATTTATTCGATGACAGTCATAAAAATGATGAGACAACTATGGTGCTTGCTCCAATACTAAAAAAGGAAACTAGTTACCAGTAATGGCTCAATATTACCAATACTTGACAAAAACCAACCTCATATCCCCAAACTGTAGTTAACCATTATGGCCACATACTAATTAACCATCATTACATTCTAATTCAGAAGTCAAACAACAAAAATCAGCGTTATACCTACAAAATTTTCACAGGACTAGTTTCGATGGTTTTACCGAACCATCATCTTCAGCTGCAAAACCGCAAATGAACAAGATAGGAAATAATGATTAGATAAGATAAGAAAGCCTGGACAAGAATAAGCAAGTGGCGCCATCTGTTGGCGAAACCAGAACTAAAACATAATTTCTCTAAAAGCCGTAAAACTAAAAACATAAATTTCTCTCATTACATTAATCATAATGAATTGAATTAATTATATTCAGCCTCTAAGTTCTTAAAAATAGATTCTATCACATTAGAAACCAAATGCAATTATTCTCCTAGTTCAGAGGGGGTAAAAATTAAACCACCTCATAAATCTGATAAACAGTTATAATACTAGTATTTCAGAGGGTGCTAGACGGTTGCACGGATTTTTGGCGATTTACGTTGGCCGAATTGTTGGCGCGATTTTTACAAACGTCAGCCATCTTGAAAAACGCTGTTTTTACGCATAGTAAAGTATTCGAAACTTAAAAAATAAATAAATAAATATCGTTAAAAGTAATGGATTAATTTTTTGTTGGAAGTGTCGTTTTTTAAAATGGCAGACAAGTGTAAATAAATACATTTACTATGAGTATAAAAGGAAGCACTTCCGCAGAGAACCCGGTAAATGTAAACATCGCCAATGTTGGCGATAATAGTTCAAACTTGGTAACCCATCAGATTTATCCTATTCGCTTGTTCAAAGTTTGCAACCATTCCTCTTGCGTGTATTTCGTTGAATTAACACTGTCGTTGTTCGCATTTGCAGATTTATATTATTCTCCTCTTATTTATTATTATAATTATTTTTTTTTTTTTTTTTTAATTTTAACAACGAATAGATAGAATAGAAATATTTTCGTAGACAGATGCCGGTTCTCGGTTCGGGATGAAAGGAGGGGTGAATGCTAATTTGTAACACGGCTGTTCACGTTTTGTTCTTAATTATTAACAGCTCTAAGAACCATGAGGTTTCCAAAGTCTAAAATAATTTGATTTCGTAGACCGCAAAAATGCGCATGTGCATTTAAAATAATTAAGTAATGCTTTTATTTTATTATTGGTTATTGTCATCAAAAATTATGAGAATAAATAAATTTTTATGGCGTAAAAAAATTTTAACAGATAATATATTGTTAATGCTTTCTAACAATAAGCTTTCAGAGGATGGCAGGTGTGACATAAATAGATGATTAAATTGAAATAAAAAATATTATTGATTATCTAAGATGACAGAATAGTTTGATGCATCACCATGGTCATCAAAATTAGCAAATCACTGCTGGTGTAAGGAATATATTGTTTTCTGTGTTAACTGGAATTATGCTTAATAATATATTCCTTTCTGTGCTAACTTGAATTTAACACAAATTTATTTTCGTATATCACGTTTAACCGTTTAGTTTTACATCTACATGCATATTATCTGTGAATTTTTACTACCATATGCTTAATATATTGTTTTATCTGCTAACTTGAATTTACATGCACTATAAATGACGTTTACGACTCGGCTCATCGTCGATGAACCGCGAGCTTGGCGAGTAAGAATGCAACGGCGCCAACGGGTTCTCTGCGGATGAAAATTATTTGAACGTTATTTGAACGAGTATTTGAACGTTATATATAATATAATATATATATATATATATATTATATAGAATAAATACATTTACTATGAGTATAAAATACTAAAGTAAGGTTATTATTACTTTCATAAGCAAAGAAGAGAATAAAACACCGCTATAAAACATTGGGCCAACGTTTAATTAGATTAAAATATTACTGAAAATTGAATATCGAATTAAAAACCATCATACCAACATTTAAAGAATTAGAATATTAGGTTTAATCCTAGTATCCGGTGCACAGGGATTGGCTACTTTTGGCGACTTTATGATGAGCAGTAAAAACGGGACATGTACGATGAGTAGTAAACGGTCATTCAAAGAATATATATAGTTATATATAGTATATATTATGTGGTAAACACATAGTATAGTATAGTGTATAGACGTTCTTTGGAGATCATTTTGGTGTTGGCGATAATTTTCAAAATCACGCCCAAGGCTGCACAGATTACTAGGATTTTACCGAATATTATTAATTCAAATACTTTAAAATACGTTATATGGGAATATAATTAACATTAAAACAATGGACAATAATTATCTCAGCAATTCGAAAATAGTGTATTAATTTTTTTAACAAAAATTGAAGTATACAATTATAAAATAAAAGAAAATATGTACTTACATTTTTTTGAGTGTTTAACCTGTCTTACTGATAAGTACCAACAATAAAAATCCGAATCATAATTTAGATAACATCTTTGAAGGAATTCGAAGATATAAATTAAATTTTAAAACGGCGCGGAATGCACAAATTGTCAGTAACCAATCAGGGAGCTGATTACACTCGTTAATGCACAAAAATTCTATAACCAATCAGAGAGCTTATTACATCACGGCTAGAATTAAATTATTTAAAATTCATACATAATAAAAACATTTTTAAAAAAATGCCAATTACAATTGTATTTTAATATTTAAGAGCCATAAATAATGTTTAAAACATTAGATTAAATTTTACTATTAAAACGAATTAATTTTAAAGTAAGGTACGTCATTGATTACATCATCCACAACATAAAATTTCATAAAATATGATAAGAATAAAATTTTATTTCAAATAAAATGCAAAATTAAATTTGATTTTAATATTTAAAAGCCATAAATAATATTTTAAACACGAATTTATGCACAATAAACGCATTATTTTTTAAATAAAATGACAAAAAGTATCGGTTACCATAAACAACTTATTCACCAATGGGTTTACCATAAGTTGTATTACTCGCCAAAGGAAAATTGCCAAAACATCGCCAAAATCCGTGCAACCGTCTACCAAAGTAGCACCTATCAGAGGTTGATCTGTTTAACAATGAGTAACAAACTGAATTTAGCAATAGTTCTTGGAATATCTTTTGAACAAGAGTATTTCAAAATTAAGCAAAGTTCTCGCAAACTTGCGAACATGTCCGCTATGTATCTATCTACTGTAAAAATCTGATCTATAAGATATATTTCTCAATGTTTAATTTGGATAATCTTCTAACAGTACTCATGAAATAGCATAGTTTAAATGCGATTATAAATTCAATGTCCTTATTTCATTTTTCATAATAAAATAAACTCCTACTCACAACTTTCTCAACTTTTTCTTGCCAACAGAAAGTATGCTCAAAAGTTTTTGATGATGCTTTCATCAAATTTACAAGCTCCAGTTCATTCGGGTCTCGAACATCTGTCTGTCGAGATGTGAAACATGCATTTTTTATTTTCCTCACCTGGACTCTAAAAAAATTTTGAAAACAGATATGAGTAAATAAACTAGTATGATACATTCCAATTTAAAAGCACCCCAATCTTGTTTATAATGATTTTTATACCAAAAAGCAAGTGTAATTTGATACTTTAAATAAAAATAGCCTCTAATATAAAGAAAATTCACCTAATTTTTAAATTTTTTATTTTGTTATGAGTACGATATTCTCCAATTGGCAAATCTTCTCCAAGTGCATTTTCCATGGCATAATAATACTAAATGAATTAGTTATTTACGAATTTATTACTATTATTATTTTCCTTTCCACATACATTACACATGTATACAGGTATGCAATGTTGAAAACTAATAAATTTGAGCACTTTATTCGAAAATAATATATTATATATATTATTTTGTTTTACAACAAACATACGTTGGGCGAAACATGTTACCATAGCAACATCACTTTCCTTGTTGCCAATTATAATTTCAGTATTCAAATAATACGTAATCGTGTGCAACTGGTAGCGTTTGTAGCTGGAAAAATAGCGTATAATCAAATATTCGTATATAACTAGAATATTTATATTCATGTATATCTAGATATTTCTATCATCATCGTATTATCAAAACCAGTCCATTGCTAACAAATCGTGATCTTCGTTAGCACAGAATTACCACAAGCATTCGTTATTCCAGATATGTCCTCGTTTTCAATAATTAAAATAATGTCCGAAATGTTAATCATTTTTCGTTTAAAATTTTTAAAAGTGATTTCTCCTTAATCAACGGAAACTGATATCTATTTTCTAAGAAACCGATGAAAAGAACAAACTTTTCGGAAACGGCTGCCGACAAGACTCATTATCCGACTACAGTTATCCGAAAGGACATTAACTAAGGTCTAGAGGAGCCTGAATATTAACAGGATTTTAGACGACACGGGCGCATTACCAGCAGGACACTTATTATCGGCAGGGACATTTAGCCGACAAGACATTTATGCGACAGCGGACAATGGACGTTCAAATACTTTTTTTTTTTTTTTTGTCATAGATATATGAAACTTTGCATGCATATATATTTTAGCACAATTATATCAAATACCTTTGAAAAAAAATTTCTGGCTCATTGCATTTTTGCTAAAATCATCGTCCACGGTTTGTTGACAGATCTCTGCCTATTCGTTCAACATAAACAAATTTAGCCCTTTATTATCTCATAAAAAAATGCAGTGCCGTACTAAAAAGTCTGCTGCTACATAGAATACATCCTCGAAATTCTGCTGAATTAAAAAAAAATAGCATACTTTATCATGTTATAAATAAATATTTGCCGAATATCACTTTTGTTTTTTTTTTAGCATTTTTTCGATTAGTATCAGTATTGCAAAATAGAGGGCGCCACAACTCCATTTCGGCGGACAGTCAATTTTCATTTTGGGGTAATATTTAATTTTTCTCCATTAAAATGGTTAATATTTTTATCTTAGGAAACGAAGTAACATTTACAGATTCACCACGACACGTTTCATTCATCAAAATGTTATTTCTATAGCGCAAAATGTGGACATACATACTAGTTTATATTCAAATACTTTGCAAACCTAAAGGTTTCGGTAACGTCATTGCATCTTTCGCCAAGTAGGAAATTTGCCGAATTTTTTCATGCCTGTGCTGTAGATCGTCTGCAGAGTTGAACAGGTTTTGAATGTATATAACCCCCTGCAAAAAGCAATTTAGGAGGACAAAACGTTGAAAGCATTCATTAGCAATCAAGATAACAAAACGTTGAACGCTTTCAAAGCCATCTGCTGGAAACTATGATGAGTTAGTGCATTCAACGAAAAATTTCTCAAGAGCAATGTTTGGCTCTGCACTAAATATAATTCAAATGATTAATTATTTGACAAATACTATTAATAAATGTTCAGCTAAGGATTATGCGAGAACGTGGAAAGATCATTCGATATTTTTTCAGAGAGCATTAGAGATATCTTTAAAACTGCCTCACTTATCAATTTTGAACCATTATACATAAAATCTTGAATGCTGAACTTATATTTACATGGAGTAATTTATAGAACTTAATCATAGAAAAAGAATGCGTTCAAATTATACTCATATATATTTTTATAATCTCATTATTAGGGCAGCACTTCATTGAATGCATTGAAATTAAGTATAACTGAAACGGATTTAAAATAGTCTTCAAATATTAGGTATAGTGTGTTATTTTATATACAGATTCGTTAAAGTAAATTTTGCTCCTTCGATACTTCAATATTTTTTCTTGCACCACGTAGTATAAGTTATTTCATCGCCGGAAGGATGGCATAATTGGAAATTAAGGTACATCTCGAGAGATAAATCGTGAAATTCGGCGAATATTTCGCAGCCGAGGATTTTCACTTACACTTTCTTTCAAAGAATCTGTTAGATAACGACGCATTAAGTTATATTTATTTTCAAACAATCAATCTTTGCCAGTGTTAATAGAAGTTAATAGAATCGTTACAAGAGATCAAGATCTTGATTTAAGCTGATAGTATAATGTAATACGTTATACGCCCCGCATATTTTTTTTATTTGGTATCTTTTATCATCATTGGTTTGGTTATTTATTTCATTACGGCAAAGCATACAAGGGCTATCTGCATAAATGGAGGGATGCCTTCGTTGAGGAATTTTCTAAGTGAAACTGGCTTGTACCACGCTATACATGGGAAAAATCAATGCAACCAGACCATTCGCTGCTATTTAACCCCGCTCGGTCGTCGGTGCTCTAATCTGCTATTATGTAACGTGGTTTGTATTCGAAAATAAATTGTTCAAGGATGCCGGCATATATTAAAAGCATTTAAACATTGGAAACACTATCGAAACTTCAATATAAATCAGAAAAATTCTTAATTTTTTTGTATTTATTTATTATGTGGCAAAATGACGAAAAATCCTTAAAATTTGCGGAAATTCGCTCAGTAAAAATGTGGGTCTTGGGGAAGAATTCAAACAATGGATAACAACTTTACTTTGCAGGTATTTTGTCTGCTTTGTAAGCTCTTTGATTGTAAATCATCAAATAATAATTAATGGCAAAAGCAGATGAAAGATCTTTACCTAGGTAAGCATACTTACCTAAATTTCAATGATTATTTCGGCTTATCGCTGTACATATTAGATGTAATAGATGTGAACATGATCTTCATACGTTATCATAAATTTTTTAAGATATTGTTGCGTTTTGTGGCTTCGTATATTTGAAGTAATTGATGATCACGTGATGAAGGATGAAAAACATAGGAGTAATTTGCAAAAGTTTCAGAATAATTTTTTAAACTTCATTAATGTTATTCTAATTAAAACCCTGGCATTTTTAGTGAAACTGTTTCTTGTTCTATTTGTAACTTTTAAACATTGCTTTTGACTGGATTATTTTGGCTACGGCAAAGCATATGAAAGCTGTTTGCCTATAGAAAGGAATGTCTTCATGAGACGCTTTCTAAGTGGAACTGTCCAACACCTCCTAGAACTAGGAGGTGTAAAGCTTTACTCAATTCCCTAATTGCCCGAAACTCCGTTTTATCTATCCAAAACAAACTTCATGTATATAGATCCATGCTGCGACCTATTATCACTTACGCCTGTCCAGTCTGGGGCTATGTGTGCAAAACTCATATGCTGAAAATACAGCAAAGTCAAAATGTAATGTTGAGAATAATTTCCAATAGTCCTTGGTTCTTTAGGAACGAGGCAATACACAATGAGCTGAACATTGAAAGCATTAGCATTCACATTGCAAAAATTGCACGAAAGTTCTTTAAAAACATCGAAAAAATTAATAACAGTTCCATCCCAAGATTAAACTATGATTACACCAGCGAAGTAAACAAAAAAAAACCCGGAGCAGTTCTCCGGCACTTAATTTAATTGTATCAGCTGTTTAAAGTACTGTAATTTGCATTTCTATGTTTGTTCTACTCTTGCAAAGGTTAACTGTTCATATTAAACTCTTAAAAGCACACGCACATGTGTCGCCATCTGTATTTCAGAACGTGAAACACTAAATTGTAACATCACTACCTTGTCTTATAAAAAATTCCTCTTGTATATTTATTTAAATACTTAGCTCACAACACATTAACTGATTAGGCCAACTTATTTCAGTTCAGGATCTTTTTACTTGATATTATTGTATTTAAACTCTAAAACTTCTTTTATTTTTATATAAATTAAAATTACTCAGGATTTGCATTAAATTAAGGGCCCTAGTCTGGACACCGTCGAGATAGAAGAACGTGTCGTTTTTTGCGATTTACTCGACAGAGAGCGAGTCTGGTGTCATCGTCTCGATCATTACAGAGATCGACGCGTCGGAAATTTTTCCGTCAGCTAGACAGCTGCCGTTTATATGTCTGACTGTTGCTTTAGAGCTAAACTGAGGACGGCGGAGGTCAAGGATTGTTTTTGCAAGTTTACGTAACAGATATTTTAATTTATTAAAATTTGTGAAAAACTCGAGTATTTCGCAATAAAAGTAACGCATTTGATGCTGACGATTCTGCATTATTTATTTATTCTACTTTACCAATACCTTAATTAAATTTTAGTGAAAATAATATATTTGGCATTTTCCTATTTCACATATCCCCTCAGGGGGCTCACATTTGTGAGTACGGGTGTGGCAATCCCGAGGTTCCCTAGCCCTTCAGGGGATCATCTTCTTGGTGAGACGGCTGTCACGATCCTGGAGCCCCAGTGATCTATCCTCTTTTCCGTCTCCTCTCCTCTTGACTGGAACTTTTTCCCTTCCCTTCTCCCTTGTGGTTTCTCTCTATGGAGTTTGGGGCTCGTCACGAGAGGCTGGAACAGACCTTGTTTCTAGTTTTCGAGTGGCGAGAAAACTGCCCACGTGTTTGCCGTGCGTGGAGACCCGTGTCGCTGGAAAGGAGGGTCCTGGTAGTTGAGGGGCGAGGTACTGTCCCCAACACACTGCTTTGGCCTCTGCTTCAGCTAAACGGGAGGCACCTTAGTCGTCCTCACGGGTGTCAATCGGCTGGTCACTAGTCCTTGTGTCAGTGGCTTGGGGTCAAGCTCTCGGGAGTACCTGCTTTCGGGAAAGCCGACTGTGGGGCTTCAGTTTGCGTATAGGTCCGGCTAGCCCTAACACAGGAATCTGTGTTCCTTTGTTGGGCTCCGTGGTGGGCGGGGCCGTCGGACCCGAATCAATTTTCTTTCAAATATGGCTAATCCTCATATATTTTTAATCAAAGACTTTGAAGTCACTCCTGTCACTCCAGCAACCAATTCTGAAAAACCTAGTGTTAAAAAAGTACGTACCGATGCAAATGCAAATGATCCTGAAAATTGCTTTCGTTTCGTTGTAGTCTCAAGTCCTTCTGGCGAAATTCAAAAGTTATCTCCGTTTATAATTTAGAAATATATTCATTCCTCCA